ATGTACGGCACAATTAACAATTCTCTCATATTCACGAACATCCGTGTGTGTAGATCTTTGTCCCCATCTCATAGGCTTTTTACACATGTCACCTGGTTCCTCTCTGGAAATGTTTTTTTTTTCAATTTATTATCAGCCATATTTGAGAGAAATGGCTACACCTTGCTCTTACTAACATTTAGTGAAATCATGTAAAATGTATCCTTTAATTTGATAAGTAAAAACGTATACCTTGATATTATATCTTGTCAATTTTTCATTAAAATAATTTAAAGTGAGATATTTGCTAATGATGTATTTTTAAAAATTTTTTAAAATTTAAAATTTTTTAAAATTTAAAAATACCTCTTGGATTTATCAATTCTGCTTTTTCCTGTTTTCTAATTACTTTATTCTGCATTTATTTATTATATTTTTAACAGTTTTTTTTTTTTTAGAGAGAGAGAGAGAGAAAAAGAGAGCGCGAGAGCAAGTGGGGGGAGGGGCAGAGGGAGAGAGAGTCTTAAGCAGGTTCCCCCCGAGTGTGGAGCCTGGCATGGGGCTCGATCTCACAACCCACAAATCATGACCTGAGCTGAAACCAAGTGTCGGACGCTTAACCGACTGAGCCATCCAGGTGCCCCTATTTCTGCCTTAAAAAACATTAATTTCCTTCTCTTTTCTTCATGTGTATTCCGTTCTTCTTTTCCCAACTATTTTTATTTTTATCGTTACTGAAGATGAACTTTCTTTTTCTCATGTTCAAATTAGGGAAGACAGGTCAAACTATTTCATAGGTAATGATGATTAAATCCTAATATTAAGGCTTCAACGAGATAACAAACAGCCCAGAACATGGAGGTACTTATTGGACCTCAAATAACTTTCTGCTGTTGGCTGTTTGGGTCACTTCCAGTTTTTCCCTAGTATAAACAATGCCTTAGCGGACATCCTCATTACTTTTCACAAAGGCATTCTTACCTTTCACAAAGACTTCCAACCCACCAATTTCTTACCTTCCTCCAGCCTCGGCAGCAGGGGGGACATTTTTTTTTTTTCCAATTTAAATCATTTAAAAAAACCGAGTGACCTTGTTTTATCTGCACTTTCCAGAATACGGCTCAGAAAATAAAAATATCAATAAGAATACAAATTTGAAATAGATTTAGGAGCACGTTGTTTTTACCCATTATATCACATTATATCAGAGACTTACTTTTTAATACAAATTTATTTAAAATAGAAATACTTTGTTTTTCTGGGGATAAATTAAATAAGTGCATATTGCAGAAATATCAGACAATATAGGAAGTCAGCCTTATTGGGGCACTTGGGTGGCTTTCAGTGGGTTAAGGGATCAACTCTTGATTTTGGCTCAGGTCATGATCTCAGGGTTGTGAGATTGAGCCCTGCATGGGGCTCTGCGCTGGGCACCGAGTTTGCTTAAGATTCTCTCCCTCTCCCTCCGCCCTTCTCCTGCCACTCACACACGCAAGCATGCTCTCTCTCTAAACAAACAAACAAACAAAAAAAAGGCAAGAAAAGAAAGTCAACTGTATTAGTTAGCTAGGGCTGCCATAACAGAGTCCCACAAACTGAGTAGCTCAGACAACAGAAATGCACGGTCTCACAGTTCTGGGGGTTTGAAGTTCAGATCACGGGGCTGCCATAAGTAGTTCCTTCTGAGGCTGTGAGGGGCAGTCAGTCCCCGGCCTGCCGCCTGGCTTCTCCTGGGTTTACTGGTCATCTTTGGTGCTCCTTGGTGTGTAGAAGCATCACCCTGATCTCTGCCTCCATCTTCACATGGTGTTCTCCGTGTGTGTGTGTGTGTCCAAATTGCCCCTTTCCCCCGTTTTATAAGGACACCTATTATCCCATCCTAATGACCTCATCTTGACTAATTACATCAGCAACGACTGTATTTTCAAATAAGATCAAATTCCAAGGTACTGTAAGGCTTAGGATCCCAACATATGAATTTTAAAGATTTTATTTATTTATTTGACAGAGAGAGACACAGCGAGAGAGGGAACACAAGCAGGGGGAGTGGGAGAGGGAGAAGTAGGCTTCCCGCCAAACAGGGAGCCCGATGCGGGGCTCGATCCCAGGACCCTGGGATCGTGACCTGAGCCGAAGGCAGATGCTTAACGACTGAGCCACCCAGGCGCCCCCAAACATATGAATTTTAGAGGACACGATTTGACCCACAACAGCAACCTTGTTCTTCCCTAGGATCACAGCTGTTGTATGCAATCGGTGCATATTCTCCCAGGTTCGATCCACTTGCGTGTGTACACTCACAGTTTGTCAAAATGGAATTATACAGTTTTCTGATCTGCTTTTTTCACTTAACTAAATGTTCTGAACACCTTTCCACGTCACCAAATACACATTATATTTTAATGGGCGTGTAGAATTCTACTCTTCAATGCGCCATGTTTTATTGATTGAAGAATATTTGTTTTTCCAAATGTTTGCTCTTACGAGCAGAGGCACCATGAAGGCATTTTTTTTTTCCAATTTAAATCATTTAAAAAACCATGAAGATACTTGTATGCAATGTGCTCTCTTGATCCCTAGCTTGCTATTTTCCCAAGATACATTGCTGCAAGTGGGTCTGCTGGTTTAAAATGGCCTGTGTCTTGCAAAATATTTTGACACACATTGACAACCTTCCCTCCAGAAACGCTGTGATCTTCACACTCCCGCCACCAAAGCACTTTCTCTTCCAGACCTGCCTCTCCCCGGCCTTCCACACCCCAGCCAGGACAGCTCCCTTCTAGCAGCTGAGGTCAAATCTTGAAGTCATCCTTGTTGCCTTTTTGCCTCACACCTCGCACTGGATCTATCAGCACATTCCCTGGGCTCTGTCTCCAAAGTCTATCCAGTCGGACCGCTTCTCCCGCCTTGATCCCCGCCGCTTTCTCACCTGGAGCCTCTGGCTTCTCACCTGGACCTTGGCAAGGTCTCCCCCGGGCCCCGCAAAGTCTGTTCTCGCCACAGCCGCCAGAGGGCGCACGTTCTATCGTAAATCAGACCGGGCCCGGCCTCCGCTCAGACTTCTCGGCTTATTCGGAATAAACCGCACAGCCCTAGCCGGGCGGGCGGGGGACCGGGCGGTGTGTGTGTGGGGGTGATCCAGACCCCACTCTTTGAGGCCCTGCCTGTGTCTTTTCCCCGTTTTTCCATTCCCGTGTTTATCTCATAAAAAACAGAAGACCCCTTTGTACATTCAGAATATTAGCTCTGTCCACCAGAAGTCACTGGAATTTTTCCATTTTGACATCTGCCTCTTTATTGAATTCATGGACTGTTTTGATAAGTAAATCCATCACATTTCCCCTTATGATTTCCCCCTTGCCTGTACACTTAGAAAGACTCCTCCTTAAACTTATGTGTTCACCAATATTTCCTTCTAGCATTGTTATGTATATAGGACATCAAAATCATTAGTACTTTTTCTTTTTTAAAGTTCTTGACAATTGTAATGCATTGGCTTCTCAAGACAACTTTTAGAATGAATTTTCTAGTTGTCTGCAAAAACCTAGGGGGATTTTTGTTGGCGTTGCTTTAATTTGGGGGGGAAACCGTATTCCTATCCAGGAATACGGTTTCTCCCTCCATTTACTGGAAGCTTTATGGTCCCCGGTAAAATGTGCCTTTTTTTTTTTTTAAGATTTTATTTATTCACTTGAGACACAGAGATACAGAGAGGGAGAGAGAGAGCATGAGCAGGGAGAGAGGCAGAGGGAGGAGGAGAAGCAGGCTCCCCGCCGAGCCAGGAGCCCGATGTGGGGCTCGATCCCAAGACCCTGGGATCATGACCTGAGCCGAAGGCAGATGCTTAACCATCTGAGCCACCCAGGCACCCCCAAAATGTGCCTTTCTTTACGTAGGTCGCAGAGAGTTCCCAGGAATTGTGTTTTCGCAGGTACTCTCGTGAAGGCACCTTCGCGGCCGCGGGGTTCAAACGGAAACCAAGACAGACAAGCGCCTTACTGTTCCCTCGCATCTTCTGTTCTAGTGAAAGGAGACAAAAATAATCAAGTAATTATCTCCAAGGGAAATAAATAATTTGAAGATCATAAAGCAGGAACAGAGAGGGGGGTGGGGGGGGCAGCCGTGGCTAGGGGTCAGGGTGGGCTTCTTGGAGGAGGTGCCGCGGAGGGTCAGGTGAAGGAGGAGTCAGCGCGGGAAGATGGGTGTGCTAGACATTGCCCGCTCTTGTCAAATCCCGTATTTTTTATACAGGGGAACATTCAATTAGGAGGAAAGTGGAATATATCCGTCCTTGTTGCCTTGCGCGGTCCTTCATATCCGTGTCTCCCAACGCGGTTATGTGTCACCCACAAGGACGAGTGAAGGTCTGTTTGTCATGTGAGGAAGTGGGGTCTGCAGGCCCAGAAATGAGTTCTTGTTTGGGGAACGTGGATGTCGGAGCTTTGGCCTGCGTGTGGGGACAAGCCAAGGCGAGAGGCCTCCATTGGAACCAACCCCGACAACAACTTGATCTTGGATTCCTGGCCTCCGCATTGTGAGAAAGTAATTTTCTGTTGTTTAAGTGAGACAATCTTCCCTACTTGCTATGGCAGCCCTAGCCGACTCATACATGTAGATTAGTGTTATCTTTAGAAGGAAATTTAAAAGAATCAAAGTGTGGCGGTTGACACAAATGACTTACTGTAAGAAATGTTTGTAAATATGGGCTTTCTATTCTGGGAGAGGGACAGAAGTGGGTGGATTCAAGATGGGTTGGAAGTAGAGTCGGAAGAATGTCAGAGACTGGACACGTGGGGAGGTGGGAAGGAAAGAGAATTCCCAAGGATGATTCCTGGGTTTGGGGCCTGAGGAAAGGGGCAGATGGTGGGGAAATGGGAGGAGAATCTATTTCTTGGCTCTCTGGGGTTTGAGATGCTCTTGAAACATCCAGGAGACATCCAGTAGCAGCTTGATAACGTGAACTCTGAAAGCAGGTTGGGCTGGAGATAAAAATGTGGGATTCCGCAGCTCACAGGCAGAATTTAAAGTCATGGGACTAGATCAAGTCACTTGGATGAAGAAGCCGGAGGCTGGGGTGACGTCTGATATGTTAGGTTTTTATTTTCATTTATATTAAAATATTTTCTTATTTCCCTTGTGATTTCTTTTTTCTTTTTTCTTTTTTTTTTGGCACAGGATTATTGTGAAAAGTGTTTTTTAATGCCGCCATATTTGGGGATGTGAGAGCTATCTTTGTGTAATTGATTTCTAATATATTTCTATTATGTTCAGAGAGCATACCCTAAATAATTTAAATCCCTTTTCTCTCAGATTTGTTGAGCCTCACTCAGTGGTCCCGTGTATAGCTGATCTTGACAAACATTTCGTGTGTGCTTGAAAGAAATGTGTATTTTGTGCAGTTTGGGGTTTTAAGTTCTACGAATGTCAATTACAGCAAGTTGGTTGGTAACATTATTCACATCTCCTGTACCCTCAGTAACTTTTTAAAAAAATTAACTTCATTTTTTAGAGAAGTTTTAGATTTACAGAAAAACTGCAAATATAGGACAGAGGAGTTCCCATATGCCCCACACCCAATTTCCCTCAAAATTAACATCTCACATGGGGATGGTACTTTTATTACCATCATGAATCTGTATGCTTTATTCAGATTTCCTTAGTTTTTACCTGATATGCCTATTCTGTTCCAGGATCTCACCCACAATCCCACATGACATTTAGTCATTCCCTTGTTTTTGATGACCTTGACAGTTTTGAGATATTCTGTAGAATGTCCCGCTAAGGGATTTGTCTGATGTGCTTGTTATGATCAGATGGGGGCTAGGGGTTTGGAGAAGGAAGACCAGAGGTCAAGTGCCATTCTTTACTGCTTCATGTCAGAGACATGTGATCAACATGACTCACGCCCGTCGATGCTGATGATCAATCACCAGGCTGAGGAGATAATTTGTCGGTTTAACGGAGCATCCTGCGTTTTATCGGGTAACGCTCTCCAGCCACCTTCCTGGCCTCTGCCAGATGTCCACGTGGAACATCAGGGGTGTAAGTTTACTCCTCAAAATATGGGCATCCTTCCCCAATAATTTTCATCTGATGTATGAATGTTCTTTTCTTTTTTATTTATTCATTTGAAAGGGAGACAGAGACAGAGAGAGCACAAGCGGGGAGAGAGAGAGGCAGGCTCCCCGCTGAGCAGGGAGCCCGACGCGGGGCTCGACCTCAGGACTCTGAGATCATGACTTGAGCTGAAGGCAGACGCTTAACCGACTGAGCCACCCAGGCGCCTCTGAATGTTCTTTCCTTAAGCGTTCAAGGGTTTTTTGTTTTGTTTTGTTTTGTTTCAGCCACCTGAGCTCTCAGCCCATCGCCGTGAGTTTTTTCGCTCGTGGGAAATAAGCTGGCTTCAGTAATGGCCCAGGATCCTTTGGAATTTGCCTGACAGAATCTTGGCTCGTGCTCTGTGATTGTCCAGCGCGGCCGGTCCTGCCATCTGCTTTGGAGAGATTCTCCTCTCACGTTAAAGGGCAATTTCCCTGTCGCTTGGAGGTTTGGTGAGCCTTCATCTGTTTGTCTTGCTGTAAATCAGCAAGGCCCTGAATGTCTGCTGGTGCTATTGTCTCTCCCTTTCTGTGTTTTCTTAACATCAGTGAAGCTTTTGAAGTTTGAAGACTTTACATATGAGGACACTGATGATTTCATCTTCCTCAGCCCATGTGGCGTACATCTGATTTCCTTTAAAGTGTTTTGAAATAACGTTTTGAGGGAGGGCATCGATCAGTTTCTTTAGGAGTCCTTTTGATCTGTCTAGGAGGTGTTTATTTACTCATTTGAGAGAGAGCGAGAGCATGAGCGGGGGGGGGGGGGAGAGGGAGAGGGAGAGAGAGAGAGAGAAAATCTCAAGCAGAATCCCCACTGAGTGCAGAGCCTGACTGAGCCACCCAGGCACCCCAAGACTTTCTTTCTTTCTTTCTTTTTTTAAAGATCTTATTTATTTATTCGTCAGAGACAGAGAGAGAAAGAACAGCAGGGGGAGAAGCAGGCAGAGGGAGAAGGAGAAGCAGACTCCCAGCTGAGCAGGGAGACCAATGTGGGGTTCGATCCCAGGACCCTGGGATCATGACCTGAGTCAAAGGCAGACGCTTAACTGACTGAGCCACCCAGGCGCCCCAACTTTCTTTCTTTTTCTTTTTTCTTTTTTAGAGTCATCTTGGAGTCACAGTAAAATTCAAAGGAAAGTACAGAGATTTCCCATATACCATCTGCCCCCCACTCACGCACAGCATCCCCCACCACCAACATCCCCCACCGAGTGAGACATTTGTTATAGGTGATAAACTGATGGTGACATGTCATTATCACCCAAAGCCCATGGTTTAAGCCAGGCTTCCCTCCTGGTGTTGTACATTCTATGGGTTTGGGCAAATGTATAATGGCAGGTATCCATCAGTTTTTTTCACTGCCCTAAAAATCTTGGCCATTTTAATAGGTGTGTAGTAACACCGCATTGCTGTTTTAATTTGTATTTCTCTGGTGATATATGATGTGGGGCATCTTTTCATATGTGTCTTTGCCATTGGAATTTCTTCTTTGGTGAGGTGTCTGTTAATAAAGTTTTGGCCCATATTTAAGTCGGGTTGTTTTCTTATTGTTGAGTTTTAAGAGTTCTGTGTAAAGTTTGGATAATAGTACTTTGTCAGATGTGTCTTTTGCAAATACTTTCTCCTAGTCTGTGGCTTGCTTCTTGTTCTCTTGATAATGTCTTTTGCAGAGCAGAAGTTTTTAATTTTAATGAAGTCCTGCTTATCAGTCATGTCTTTCGTGAGTTATGTCTTTGGTTGTATTGAAAAGGTCATCACCATATCCAAGGTCATTTCTCCTATGTTATCCTCTGGGAGTTTCATCATTTTGCTTTTTACAGTTGGGTCTGTATCCAATTTGAGTAAATTTTTATGAAGGGTGAAAGGTCTGTGTTTAGATTTTGGAAGAGGCCCAGAATCCAATCACCCCACGAATGATTGGGATTATCCACTTTCCTTCTATTTACCGTCCTCTACCCTATTTTCTTGTCCAAACTCAGATGAGGGAATTTCTGGGCCGAGTGAACTGTTCTTGTGTTTGGGGCTCTTCGGGACTCCAGTCTGTCCCATGAACCCGCCCCACTTTCCGGGATCTGCCTGATTTCCTCTTGCCTTGCCAAGTCTCTCCATCCATGGCAGGACTGCTCTTACCCAGACCAGGCAGCACCTCTGGGTTCTGGAGGCTGCCTCAGCTCCCCACCAAAGCTCCCCTCAGCTCACCCACGAGAGCCTCAGTCCTCTTAGCAACTAGTTCATCCAGCTTCCCTCGGGTCCCCCAGCCGGCACCTAGCATCGCCATGAGTTGGAGAGGAACACCTGGAAGCTACCAGATGTCCCCAGCCTTCCTGGGAGCCCCCCTTAGCCAGCAGCTTGCTCTCCCGGAACCACCTCTGGGGCTTCCCCAGGCTCCCCCAGGGCCTCAGTTGTGGGCGTTCCCTCTGCACAGCCCCCAGACAGGCCGCTGTGGAATGAGGATCCTCCAGGATCACCACCACGCCTGGAGGAACCCGGGCTCCTGCCTCCCGCCTCCCGCCTCCCGCCTCGTCTGCCTGCATTTAGGACAAGAGCCAGAGATCACTGCCACCGTGTGGGCCCGTGAGGCTTCCACCAGCCAGACTCAGAGCACCCCAGTGGCAGCTCAGGAATGTCCTCCCCCCCTGCCTTGTCCCTGCTGGTGACAGGCCGCGGGGCAGAGGCCCTCTGGGAAGGTCTAATGGGAGGCTGGGCGCCCACCTGTCCTCAGAACTTGGCCATGTCTCAGGGCGTCACGGCCTGCACGGGCACAGGGGTTCTGGTTGCTCGGCTCCCAGCGAGGAGGGGGCAGCCGCCTCTCTCTTCAGCACATCTGAGCACCTGGCCTGCCCGCGGGAAGGACCGGAGCTACCAGCCCTCGTGGGTTCTGTTCTTTCACTCGATCGCGGAGTGGCAGCCCTGATGGTGTTTTGTGGGCACTCGTCCCCAAGACGCTTCCCTGCCATCTGCTGGAAAACTGGCAGATTAAATACACAACCCCGGGTATGACAGGAATGATGGTACCCCTAGAGGCCTGCAGCAGGCTCCCCTGTTGGGATGTGGCTCTCAGCTGAGCTTGCATGATGCCTGACCCCTGATCTCCCTGATCGGCAGAAGCTCATGGTCAGGGGGGACAGGGACAGAAACATAAGGTGTGATACACAAGAGAGGGATGGACAGCAAACTGGGAGCCCAGCTCAGACCCACACCCTCTCTGGGGGGCCGCACGGCTCAGGATCCCTCCTCTGGGTGCTGGGTCCAGGCCTGACCCAGTCCTCTGGTCCCCAGGCTGGTCCACACCACGCCCCGCCCCCCAGGTCTCTCCGGTGGCCCTGGCCATCGTGGGTGGCCTCACGGCCTGGCATCACAGCCGCATCCCCCTGGGCCCACTGCCCGCCCTCGTCCTGGAGGATGAGCTTGCCTGGAGCTGCTCTTTACTCATTGGCATGGAAGCCAGATGACCTGCGGCTGAGGCTGAGCACCTGCACCCCGTGTCACCTGCCCTCTCTGGCTTCTCCACGTGTGGCCCCTCGGCCGCAGCACCCTGGGAGCTGGTTAGAAAGGCAGAATCTCAGGCCCCATCATCCCACACCCTCTGGATCAGAACCAGCTTTTTATCAACCCCCCGGGTGCGTGCCAAGGACATCACCGTTTGAGGCCAGACAGCACCTGGGAGCTGGGAGCACCTCGGAGTGGCACAGGGCTCCGACCTATGGGGACGGTGAGTGACAGAGCCGTAGCCGTAGCCGCTCCTCTCGCGCATCTCATGTAAACAGCTGATCAGAATGGGTGGGATTCGGAGACCCCCTTTTGCCACTGTTCCCTGCGTCACTGAACCACCTTGAGTTTGCTCCCTGGTGAGTCACAAGTAGAAACTGACACACAAAGGAAGCTGTATTTGCAGCAGATAAAGCGATCAAGGGGAATCGCGTCCAAAGCTGTGACTCCCCAGCAAGAGTGAATGGGTTTCCCTTGTTTAGGGTTAGAGTGAATATTTAGAAAGGGGAGCCTTATCTCCGTGTGTGGAGGAGGCTCAGGGGGCGTCTGTGCCTTAAGCAAACTCACCCCCACATACACTGTCATGTACCCCTACATACACAGGCTTGTGCTCTCACTTGCGCGGGGATTTTAGCATTATAATGAGGGAAAGGTAAGTGGGTCACTCCGTAGGTCACCCCACAGTCCCTCTGCACAGGCATCAGTCAGGGGTCGAGCTCGGGCTGGTCGGGGCGGTCTGGGCCACCCCGGCTCTCCTGGGCAGTTATTGCTTCAAGGGTAATTTTGGTTCCCATCATGCGATGCTATGCTTGTCGGGTGTTTTGCCTGAGTTAAGAGAGAAGCTGGAAAGAAGAGCTTAGGGAACAATGTGGGAGAAAGAATGGTGGGTCCACACAAGCAGGTGAACAGTAAAAGGTCGGGTCTTGGGGTCTGGCCTCAATTATCTGCTTATTGATGACTTTTGGAGGAAGACAGGCAATTGGAAGAGGGTGTAGAGGGTCAGACTAAAGAAAAGAGATCCTGCCTGCCCAGTCCCCTTCTGGCTCTGTTACGTGGCCTTGGCCAAGAGGCTGACCCTGCCTGGGCCTCTGTTTCCTCATCTGTAAAGTCGGGATCCCTGAGGACCTATCCACCTGAGTGTCATGAGAATTGAGTTAACCCTTGTGGAGCACTTGGTAATCACTCAGTCAGTATTATGGGGATTGTTGGTGATTAACTAAGAACCTTGAGAGAATGGGGATCTGTTGACGTGGGTGCTTTAGGAGGACTTAGATGCAGAAGGTCAGCAAATATTTACCCGCCAGTCACCACAAAATACACATTAAATCAATACTGATGCTGTATTGCATCATCACACAATTGAATCTGTAAGTCTGTTTCCTAAGAAGGGAAAAGAGCTTTCTTAGGATTTTAGAAGGCTTGTTGTAATTGGTGCAAGGACGTCGCCTTTGCAACCTCGAGACCAACACACTTCAAGGCAAAGCAAGCAGGATTTGCCCCGGACAGGATGGGAGGAAGGGGTGGGAGCTGAGGCAGCAACTCAGGAGCCAGAGCAGAGCTGGGGGCCCCTGGCAGGTGGGCCGCCCTGAGTTCCGGTTTGGGCCGGCACATCTGGGATTGCTGCTGGGCGTCCATGAGGCAGTGGGAGAGTGAACTCCAGGGAAGTTGCTGTGCATGCTGCTCAGGCCCCTCAAACACACGGGGCCCTTCATCTGGGGTTCAGCAGTGTCTGCAGGACACATATCCCCCTCCCCCCGTCCATTTTTGGGATCATTTAATTTTGTTGCCACCATTTTGTAATGAAACATTTCAAGCATACAGAAAATTCTACAAGGGAAGTTTACAGGTGGAAATGATATCATGGGGAGAAGAGACAGCTCTCTCATGCAGAACCATTCCAAATAATCCATGTGGATACTTGCTACTTGTGTCCAAGCAAGTGGAGCCTGATCCCCACTCCTGGAATGTGGGCTGACGTGGCGACTTCTTCCTGAGGACAGAATCAAAAGAGGGAAAACGAAAGAACAGCTTTACTGCAGAGAAACCTGTCTCCACCAGATGATCAAGGTCAACATCGAGGGGTAAGTCATGGGGCTGTGCGCACCCTTGATAAGATGCACTGAGGATGGCACTCTCTCTGGGTGGTCTTCCTCCCCCAAAACCCATAGTCTCATTGTAATCAGGAGAAAAATTTCAGACAGATCCCACCTGCGAGAGATGCTACAAAATGCCCCTCAGGGCAAACCCTTAAGGGAGTCTGAGGAGCCGAAGGAGACACGATGACCAGATAAATGTCATGTAGGGTCAGATCGGGGACAGGGGAAGGACGTTAAGGAAAAACTAAGGAAATCTGAGGAAAGTATGGATTTGAAGTATTAATAATACTTTCGAGTATTAATAATAACACATCAGTATTGGTCCATGAATTATGACAAATATACCATATTAATTTAGGATGTTAATAATAGGAGAAGCCAGATGTGGGGAATATGGAAACTCTCTTTATTATCTTTGCATTTTTTTCTGTAAATCTAAAATTCTTCTAAATGCTAAAGCTGCTTTAAAACAAAACAACCGTATACCCACCACCTAAATTCTACCCTTCATACTTTACGGTCCACACATTGCATCCGTATGATGCATCTATCCCTCCCTCTGGCTCTTTGTTTACCTCTCTTGACTGTCCTCTTTTTTCTCTCTCTCAAAAGGGCACTCGGGAAGCTGGGGCAGGTGGGCACTCAGCGCCGCGGGGTCCCCAGGCGCAGCTACGCTCCCGGAACGCCCCGCCCCAGGCTCAGCTGCAGCTGGAAACAAGGAGCTCTACTGCCACCCAGTGGATTTTTTTTAAGAATTAAAGTTGAGTGCAGGGGTGGGGGAAGCTGGAGGAGGCCGTGCGGGCAGGGGGCTCCTCTGGCTGGGAGCGTCTCTGAGCCCAGCTGCATGCGACCCTAGCCCCGTCGCAAATGTTTAGCTAGACCCAGACATTTGCTAATTCTGGCCCCGGTTCCCAACTGTGCGGTCATCTCGCAGGGTTATATATGCTACACTTTTCAAAAAAGTCTTTTTGGGGAAGAGAAAGAGCATGAGGGAATCGGGACCTTTC